TTGTCGTTACGGCTAGTGAGGCCTGATGCTCTAGCATTGCCTCGAGGCGACGCATCCGCTCCTCTTGAGCAGCATCTTGCTGGTGACGCCGCTCCCTTTCTTCGTTCTGCATAGCCTGGGTCTATGCTATCTGCTATAATAGCGTTTGCGCCTACCCGGGAGGGCTCGTCGATTCCTGGTGCTGCATAGCGCCTAGGGGTTGTGTGGCGTGCCGCTAGTGCTTCGGTCGCTTTTCGTCTAATGTTCTAGTGTGCCTAGGAATTGAGATCTTCTAGGGCTTTCTAATACGTCTCGAGCGCTGAGAGATCTATGCGCGAGGATTCCGTTCCGATGTGTGTTCGTCACTGAATCGCTGGGGATTCAGGAGTATTTCCAATGAGTGCCTAGGTTGTTTTCCTAGGGCTTTCTAATGACTAATAATACTTCTAGGTGTAGAAGGAAGCTTTTTGTATGTGAAGGGCTGAAGCAAGACTTAATTCAATCTAACTAGGCCAACATGCTGTTTACAAAAAGCTTAAGGAGGGGAAGTTTATCCTGCGCGTTCTCCACGTCAACATACCAAGGTCCCGTGATACACGTGACCAACATCGGGCACTGGCCCGTGACAGAATCAATGATCTAATCGATGATTCGATCATATATCGATGATCTGACCAATTGATAGATTAGGAAGGAGCTGGATGTTAGAATCCGTTGTCGATTGGTAGCTAATTAGCCATGGTAAAACTCTCTGTTGAAGAGGTATATGCAGAGGGGTCCTTCTGCGGGAAAAACGATGGTCCGGTCCGGGCCGTTGGCTGGCGGGCCGCTGGTCAACCAACCTCACATAGCCATACACACACATATATAGGCTGACATCTTGCCCTATATCTCACAAGGCTATTAGAAATCTTAGCTAAGGATATTAATAATATCTAGGGTAGATAGCCTAGATTTCTAACGGCTATTAGAAATTTACTAAGAGTATTAATAGAATCTAGATAGAAGATAGTGTTAAATTTCTAACGGCCGTCAGAAATTAACGCTAAGGATATTAACTAGCAAATATATATTTCTATCTACAAAACTAACAGAACTCCTGCCTCTCCCCCTAACCTCTCTACTAGAGTAGTAAAATACTTAGATTTTAGTTAGTTCCTATACTTTAATAAACAGGATTCTAATATACAAGCTCATTTCACCTAGTTTATTTTTAATTATGAGATCCTGGGAGCTTTTTCTGCCTTAGGCTCCCTTTCCAGTGGGTCAGACCTACTGTCTCCTTCCGGCCACTTTCGGTCACGTGAGGCCCCGTCCGGCCGCGCATGTGTATATAGTCTCTCCCTTACCATACTTAGAAGGGCATGCCCCCATCTACCCTTTGGATCACAATTAGACCTAATTCAGCATGAATATTAGTGTATATACCAAAACAGTGTTTAATAATAGTAATAAACACGGCTGAATCATCAGTTTATGCGGCCGAAAAAGGAAGGTCTTAGCAGAATTATGAAATTCCGGGGGACCGCCTAGGGGACCGCAAAGGACCACGGTCCCCCGTGGTCCGGTCCTGACTACTTTAAAAAGCACTGAAGGACCGGACGGTCCGGTCCCGGTCGTTGCCGAGGTCTAGTTATACATTCAATTAAAAGTGTAAATGGGTTATTATAATAGTGAATAATCTATATACGATCGTATTTTATCTAAATTCGAAATGGTGAGTGGTCATTTTGGATAGATGAAAGGATTGAGACTAAAACCATGTTTAATAACCGTAAATAACAAAGAGGAATCATCAAATTATGCGTCTAAAAGATTAAACTCTTGGCAAAGTTATGCATTCGCGGGTCTACGAGGGTCGACCCGCTTGAAAAGACTCCAAAGAATGATAGACAGGACTCCCAGCAGGTCTGCCCGGGAGGGAGGGGAGGAAAATGTCGACGAGAAGACGTAGAGAGGACTGGTGCCGATATCCCCATAAATAACACCCACAGATTGATATGAAAGCCATAGAAGCATCTTTCCTTTGAATACCTGGTAATGGTCAGTAATTTCGTTCACCGCCGCCCGACAACACGACAAGTCCTAGACGCTTATGCCGATTGTGATCTCTGTGGTGAACGTGCATGCTTTATCTGTCTGCGCCAGTGCGATGCTCTCGGATGCCTGGGCTCTGCAAACACCCCCTTCGCCGATGAACATGAGCCAGATCTATTCTCGCCCAGTGAAGACTTTGATGGTGCAGTCATGGGCCGAAGACGAAAAGTCTGCTCTGGCTGTGCTGTTGACGAACCGCATAGACCCGCGGGGCGGGGCGGTTCTTAGCATAGATAGGTTGCGGGTCTATGAGGGGCGGTTCGTGGTTCAAAAATATAGAACCGCCCCGCCCCATCTCGAGGCCTAGCTAGTAGTAGTAGCTAGCTACCGAAGTAGTAGGTAGTGTATAAAGATTTTTCGGTGACTTAGAATTCAAATCAGTCTTGCAGGGATTTCTAGCTATCTTTATGCTTGCGAGGTGGCCTTAGGCCCTCAATCTAGCTAGTACTATCGTTATAGACTAGCTAGTGTCGTAGTAGGTTAGGTAGTCGATTCATCATATACTAGGTCAAAAGGCTACTTAGTAGCTAGTTATAATCTTCTACTAATATCTACTAGGTTAGATGATAAGTAGGCAGATGACTGACCGCTCCTGATCACGCCATAAATGAGCTTCGTGCGTCGAAGGGGCTAGATCGGGCACCATACCGCGTTTGACTATGTGATTGATACTCCACAGTTAGCTATCGCGCTGTGACGGGTAATAAACACATGCCAAGCTATTTCAATAGTCTGGTAATTTTGGGGTACAGAGCCCAGACGCCTGAGGTAATATTCTATTCTAAAAGTAGTTTAGCGCTTCTTGGCATTAGAGTTCGAGAAACAAATGAAAGAGTGTAGGTAGTGACACCGTTTTCCGGAAGCTCTGTACTCAATACGCATATTGGGCACACACCAACTAGATATCGATATCAACGATACAGTAGTATGGACTTTCAATAGGTTCAATAAATTAAAAAAAGGTTTGATCCTTTCATATATGTCTATTGGGGCTCCTTGATGAGGTCTTAAAGTGAATGACGTGGTAGGTACTCCGTTAAGTGCTCTGGAGTGTGGTATTGTAATAAGTGAGTTTCCAGCTCCTATGTTTCTAGATGGTCAGATGGTCAGTGGAACGACGAGGCGATTAGTTTACTAGATTTAAGAAACCAATGATTTCGGTAGCACTTGAACGTATCTTCCTTGGAACCTAATCGGACCCAGATCGTGGCGTATGGGAGTTACTGTATTTTTGTTTTTAGTTGAGATCTATTGGTCGGCTGAGCTTCTTAGTGGCCCCTATGCTGTAGTACAGTGGCGCTACTAAAGTCTGTGACCCCCCTGGTTGACCGCCCTTTTTCTGCCATGAATTCTGCCGCACTAAAACCTCTCAAAAATAATAATCAAATTGATCGAATAGCTAATATTTAGTGTACCAGCCATTTGATGTAATAATCGCCTGCACCCTACGTGGCATACTCTCTGATAGGCTCTCTAATACACCAAGATCAATTTGTTGCTATGCCTCCTTCGCTGTATCGATTAAAATAGCTAGGGTGTTATCGTTATTAGGTATATACAATAGATCAGGCCGGATTTCATAGATCTTTTGCTTGAGCAATGTCCAAAGGTTCTCAATTGGATTAAGATCTGGCGAGTAAGGCGGCTAAATCATAATCTCACGGCCTAGATCTGCTACAAATTCGCGTACGATCTGCGCAGTATGTGTTGACGCATTATCCTGTTGAAAGATTGATGCCGGGTCGATAAGTAAAGTAGGTAGGATTCGCTAGTATAAATCAAGAATTACAAAGCGATTAACGCCTTGACGAGGAGATTCTGGGTCTCTGTATAGGGCTACTAAGCCGCTTCGACGAAGTGACCCAGAAAATGTAGCCTAAAACATATGTTTAACCTGGAATCCGCGATGTGGTGTTGGCTGAACTTCGCCTTGGACTGCCTGGTCGGATGGACGAATAAAGCTATATGCCGGCCGGAGCCCGAAGCCACGTTTAACTGTATACTCGTTAGACTAGAATACTCGGTCGAAATCTTCCTTAGTATAGTGTTGATACCGTGTAGCCCAGGAGAGTCGTGCAGCAGTATGCTTAGGCTTTAGATATAGCCTTTTCATTACTCGCCACTTCCGGAGACCCTCAATAGAGAGTAAACGCGCAATCGAGACTTTCTTGCACTTATGATCAACCTCAGGGAGTAGATCATCGTATGAAGATCGAGGATCTTCGTGGATCTTTTAAAGGATCTTTTGACGGTCATCATCATCTAAGATCTTTGGGCGCCCAGATCGTTTCTGGGATTCTTCCTTATGTCGAATTCGAGATCGAAGACACGTCATTTTAATAGTTGATAGCGGTATATGTGGATATTTCTCATGAATTTGACGATAAGACCACTTTGCAACGTCTTTCAATGTAGTGATCTGAGTGCGTAGATTCACATCTAATTCGCAGTTCTTGCGTCTTGGCTGGTCGCCTGGAGGTGGAGTAGGAGGCCTAGGTGCAGTAGGAATAGGCCCTCTAGGCGTTGGAGGGCTAGGCACTGGTAAACCTGCCCTTGTGCGAGGCATAGTGGTGTGGTTGATGATTAAAATATTATATGCGACGCGATACGCGACTACGCTATACGCGTTGACGGAGTTTAGTAGGCTATAATAGGAAGGCGGTGCTGCTGGCGGTCAAGCAGGGGGTCACAGACTTTAGTAGCGCCACTGTAGTTCTTCGGTAAGACAGAACGGTACCGTATCATAACTCAGCCGCCGACATCGTGACCAATGGGATCCTGAGAGCGATGATGCTGTGGTCTAGCCGTGGCCATTATAACTATCAAAACCATAGATCGCTAACTTACCACGTATTTCACCTAAGCCCTATATAAGCTTACGAGGTACGAATGAACGCCCCACTAAATAGACATCTGATCATCTTATGATCGTTGATATTTTGTCTCTTATCTACGGTATGCGCGCCGTACATATTTTGACCCTCGGCTTGGTCGCGAACTGGGCTGCTGCAGCCCCCGCTCAAAATATCGCCCTCGAGAAAAGACAGACGATCGGCGTGAGCAACTGCTGGTGCTGCGAGATAGCCCTGCAGCCACATGGGAACTTCTATGGCGCCGGGACGGGTTGTAAGGCTGGTGGTACGCTCTCTCGATCTCCTTTCAAACATCAGTCTAATGTAGTCTACAGTCGCTACATGCGATCCGGCACACAAGCTCTGCTGCACCGCTGCAGTCGTGAGTATCCTTTCGTTAATCTTCAAGCTATCATATTAACTGTATAGTTCCTGCCTTTCGTCGCCTGTATAGGACCGGCCCATAGCGGTGGTGGTGGTGGGAATGGTGGTACTGGTGGTGGCGGTGGATGATCTGAATATTTATACAAGCCAATTGAAGGGAATGAGAGGGGGATCAAAAAGTGTCACAATATCCACGTATAGGCTCATAAGAAATAGCTTGAGGTCGCAATCAAAAATCAAATTACATCCTAAAGAAACTATATATGTAATATTTTTGCACTATATCTCTTCAATGTTGAGACTTGGATGCCGAAAGTGTCCCTTTGCGCTTTTGGCCCTTGCACCTACCACGTCGACGCACCACACGAGGAAGTTATTAAATCCTTGATCCAGATTATCCTGCCAATATCGTCGAATGAAGGCTTTGAGCTCAGTAAAGAACTCCTCAATAGGATTTAGGTCAGGAGAATATAGAGCCAAAAACACTAGCGTCACACTAGCTTCTGAACACATCTTCTCGATGCGTTCGGGTGGTGAAATGACGCGTTGTCTATGACTAGAGCTGATTTCGGCTCCGGCTATTCCCATAATACTAGAGAAGCTCTTCAATAAAATCCTCATATACGGACGTATCGGTCGAGCCTTTGAACACTCGAGAAAGAAAAATTCCATCTTGCGCATATAGAGGCAGTATCTGATATCATTGGTCACTATGAAACTTGGAAATCTGGACCGGTGTTGGGCCAAGAGGGGACCAGCCCGGCTGCCTGAAGCCTATACGTTTATCACACCCAGATTTATCTACATATACGAGGCGGTAGGACTGAAAATCTGAGATAAAATGAAAGTATACATCCCGTACTGTAAATCAGCGTTGCGCTCTTTTGCCTTTTACCGGGCAGTCTTCTTTGACCAGCCTTTGGACGCAAGAGCACGGCTAATTCTAGATTTCGTTGCTTGGATGTGGAATTCGTCCCACAGGAACACCGCCATCTCATCAAGATACAAGTCAGGCTTCTCGAGTAGATCACAAAGGGCTTCTAGCATAAATGGCTTGATGCTTCGTGGCCGCCCACCTTTGTTTGGTGGGGCTTTGACACAACCAAACAACCGTATATTAGAGGAGATCCTCAGGATAGTACGCTTGCTACAGCCAGCAGCCTCTGCCATCTGTGATGCAGATAATTCCCCGCTGATTATCATGTCATGAATAAGCTCGTGCTTCAAAGTGGCTAGGTTTAGCGCCATCCTGGGTTGGCCACTTATGCTTGACTGTCGATGATCTTCGAACAAAGGGACGATGATCTTCAAGGCGGGGCAACGAGATGTCGTGTGTATTAATGATACAAGTAATTTACGACAGGCTAATACTATGTATTTCGATTACCGTTCGTACCGTTCGAACGAGGAACATCAGCAAAGCGGAAATCGCTCTTGGCGGCGTGATCGGCCTTGGCGCAGGCATCCATGAATTCTGAGCGGACGGCAACCAATCAGGTCGATCCATGGGGCACTAATACTACAGATTTCCACCCGCCACCAGTGCCGCTCGAACCCAATCCTAACGTCCTGTGAAATCTATGTGGGCTGGTTAATAATTAATTGAGGCTTAGACCTTTATATTCCCACATATTGGACCGAAATAGAACAATTGCAAAAACCATTACGTATTTCAGCAAGTCTGCTCGTTCCGGTGATAGTCGACACGTATAGTAACTAGCTCATCTGGTCAAACCGACAGGCCTACCAAAACCAGCCATCAGCATAACCATTTTGGCTTAGAATGTCCTCTAAGGTGTACATATGTTTGCATTCACATTCGTTATCTACCATTGCCTTGGGTTGTATGAGTATTTCATAATTGACTATTGGGCGATTCAGCCAATAGGAACTCGTAGAACAAACCCCGAAGAAAGTCACGTGCGTGATCCGAGCTCCATCCATTTTATTCTGGCGCGGCACCCAGATGACTTCATCACGCGACGCCCCCCCCCTTTGTTCAACTCAAAACAGCATGCCGAAACGAAAAGAACTTCCTGCCTGCATTCATTGCCGGCAAATGAAGGTAAGGTGTAGAATGAAAGCTGTACAGTGGTCGTATGCTTCTTCTGTAGTTGCTGACGATTGGTCGACTTAGGTTAAGTGCAATGCTCGAGAGTCTTTCCCTGCTCCATGTGCACGCTGTGTGAGAAAGCATCTCAACTGTTCCATTAATCCATCCTTCAAGCGCATTTTGAAAAGAGGGTATATCAGCTTTCCCTGCTCTTTAAAGCCAACCAACCTCTGGCTAACAACATACTAGCCGGCTCGATGCCGTCGAGAAAGAGCTCAGCGAAGTAAAGCAGCGCCTTCTCTCACAATCAACATCAGCTCCGCCTGCATCCCAAGTATCCCCCACAATTGAGGATAGTGGCAGCCCATCTAGACCGTCGCTATCATCTGTGAGCCCCCAGGCAGGATTGAGTGTCTTAATCTCCGGCAGCAGGGTTTTAGGAAGTGTTATACTCGACCCACAACTCATCTCCGATAATCTGGAAAGGTATGGTCCAGGAAGTCTTTTTGAACAGTTCTATTCTTACCCTAAGGCCAAGGTATTATGTGCAGTATCACCCATACTTTCCTATCGCTCCTGCAGCGGATATTCTGTTGCAAAGCTCTGAGCTGCCTGTTCTGTTCTGGGTAGTAATGTTGATCTCGTCCATATACGATCCTGAGACCACCAGTTTTCCAAGCGCCCTAATGGATGAGGTCAAGGCCCTGATATCAATTGCATATGCACCATCAAACCAGCCTCTCCGCCTTACACAAGCCCTCTTGCTCTTGTGTTGCTGGCCCTTTCCGTTTGGCCCATCAATCCATGACAGTTCTTGGACATATTGTGGTCTTGCAATCACTTGTGCGCATACCCAGGGCTTCCATCGCGCAGATCACCCCTCGGACTTTACCTACGGCGCCAACATAAGCCCGGAGGAAATCGCCGAACGAAAGATGACATGGATTGCTTGTTTCATTACAAGCCAGAGGTAGGCTACGGATCTGTAGTAGAAGTGTGACAGAGACTAATGATCTATCAGATTAAGCACAACGTACGGATTTCCCCCACTGATTCGCCCGGATTATATTATTGAAAGTGCCGTGGTGTCACCACCAACTTGGTTGCCAACAACATTATGGAATCAACTTTATACCGCGCATCAGAGTTTCAAATTCACTTCCATCCTCGGACACAGTGAACTTCAGAGCACGGGTTTATTTCCTAATCCAAAGGATATCATCAGCATGTTCGATGTGGAATTAAGGGGTCAAGAATCGCGACTTTTATCCGGTTGGAATCCCACGGATCGACTGTATTTCCTTGCGACAAAATTACAGTTATATTCATTTGGGATGAATCGCACACCCCCGTGTGCCGCCAGTGTCTTATCCCAGGGCCCGCCAGATGAGATCGCTCACAGTGCCTTTATGACTGCTATGAGTCTCCTTGAGTGCGCTCTTCAGTTTCATATTAATGGCATTCCCCAATGGCCCATCTATCAGGCTAGATGGATAATATATGCCATATTCTTTCTCTTAAAGCTTATGGCATCTTCACCATCTGCAGTAGATGAAGTAAGCGCGAGAAATATTATTTCTCGGACTTGGGACATTCTTCGTGATAATTCTCGGGAGACCGATCAAATTTCCAGGGCGTGCGATGTGATTAAATTCCTCTGCTCGACCAAGTTGGATGAAGCCGAACCTTTACATACACCAGTTTTGTCACGAAATACCGCTAATATTTCAGTGGAAATGGTGTGGCTTGCGCGTCGACGGTTCAGTAAAGACGTACAACGCGAGCGACCGGCTGATTACACGCTAGCCGCAGTTGGGGAGGAACTATTTAACGAATTATTTACATATCCACTTAACCAATAATACTCATAACGTTTGTTCTGTTCAACTTTAACTCTACTTCAGTAATGTTTATGCATGGCTCGCTTGAATACTAGCTTGCGATGCACCAGTAATATGTTTTCAGAACCATTTGTCTATAGAACCGTGGCAATGAAGACCAGGTTAGCCTCTATACATTTAACAAGATGTTCTATAGAGCAACAATGGTAAGGAATCTACACCTCAGTAACGCAGGTGTCGAGCCCTCCCGCATGATAATCCATTTCGTTAGTCATCTTACTCCTGCTCCGCTGTTGAATTAGGCTCAGTTCTAACTTCGGGTGGATGTTGATGTTAAAAAGAAAACACTAGACTAGAAGAACTGTATTCAAGTAATATAATCGATTGCCCGTATCGTAACTCCCCTGCACTTATAGATTCTGAATGCGTGATAGGTTCGGACGATAACAGCGCGAAGATATTCTTATATACTACGACCACCCTGCAGCAGGATCTTCTCCAGGTGCAACATGGGTCCCTAGAGTTCTCGGACGACGCCCGATAACAAGCTAACTGCAGCTATTACGTTTAAACCACTAGCACAGTGGGACATACGGACAGACGGTTACTCGTGCCAAAGCTTTCGGAAGGGTGCGGCTGAACATGCGTACGATAGTGGGATTCTCGACGACCAGATTCAGGTACTATAGAGATGGACCTCGGAGGCATTCAGGGTTTATTTTACTACGAACGCGTCGGTTCTGTACAAGCTCAACCACTAGTTCTAGATAGGCTCACCGGCCCCGCTGTCTTCACTGGTTCCACCACCGTCCCCTCCACCATTCTATTTTGGCCCAGGTCATTTGGGCTCTATCTGACGCTACGGTCTAGGATCACGGCGATAGGTGACAGTTTATGCCCAAACTACTGTCTCGTTGCCCTCTTGACTGCGTGAGGTCCCCAATAAAATGAATCGTAAAAAGCACAAGAAACAATCCGTGGAGGTGAGATTGCCCAGGCTCAGTCTCGCCATTCTGTTTGGGCCACTTCCATCAACACGCCTCTCCGATAATTCAAATTGATACTAGCTGGTAAGGCAAAATAATGTCTGTGAACTAGCCTAGCATTAATAATGAGCTCAGGCGCCTGGCTCGTCGGTATGTGTGGACACTGAGCCTCCCAAGCTCACAAATAAACGGTGTAGCAAGCTGACCTAACCATTGGTTGGCTCCACACAGGAGATCGTCTCGGCATGC